CTTCATCTACCAAATGATTAATTTTTTCAGTTACTTATATTATATATATTTAATTATTATTATTTATATATATAAATGCAAAAACTTACTTTTTAGATAAGATGTCATGAGAAAAAGGTTTACATAAAGCATTTAAAAATTAAAAAATGAAATATGAATAAAAAATTAAATGAAAATAACATTATTCGAGCTTAAAAATTATAATAAAAACTAAAATTAGAATACTAATAAGAAAATAATTTATATTCTTGGAACAATTAATCACTAAGAAAAAAAGAATTATTAGGAATTTTAGGAAACAAAATAAAATCTAGTAAAAATAATTAACAATAGAAATTAACTATTTACCTTTGATAATAGAGTAACTTGATAATGGATCTAATGAATTATATAAAAAAAAATGTTAGGAACTTTTAGGAACAAATAAAATCTAGTGGAAATAATCAAGAGTATAAGTTGGCCCCAAAAAATCAAGAGAATAAAAATTAGCTATCATTGCAAACATGATTGACTTGTTAATAAATTTCATGAATTATAAATATCTAATCAATAATAATAATAGAGAACTTTGTTAGGAATTTTAGTTAAGAAACAATCAAGTGAAAAAAAAATTACAATGAACAGTGCTTAAGTACTAATTAATTTGGAGGCTATAAATCTACACACTCCTAACAAATCATTTCTAAGATGTTCATGTATCAAATTAGGTGTATCTCTTCCCTTTCTAAATGGTAAAATCTCAAAACCATGTAAATACGAATTGCAGTTCACTTCCTTGAAAATGTGATGCACCTCACATTGCCATTCTCATTGCAGAAAGCCCTTGCACTTGCATATCTCATTGGTTAGCATACTCCTTATTTCTTTTTTGTTTTATCAATATTGCCTTGAAACGAAATCAATGGACCATATATATAGTAGGAAGAGAATTTCAAGAGACATGTAATAATATTACAAAATTAATGATAATAATGAGAATATTTTATGAGAGGAAGATTTAAATATGTTTATTATCAAGTGAGCTTTTTATGAAAAGGAAAATCAAAAGGTATGTCTCTTTCTCTTCCTTTGGTTTAATATATATGTAACGGAAAATAATAATAAATATATTAATTTAATATACATTAAATAATTAGAGAAATTATTTTACTACATATTTATTTATTAATTAGGGATATATAGCAAGCTTAACCAACTCATTAATATAAAATGTACTCTTGTTTTTTTTTCTCTTTTTTTTTTCATGTTTCTAAACTATTGTTAATGCATATTATTTATCTAAAAGACAAAGAATATGAAAA